CCCCCCCCCCTTTCCCTTCTCTTTCTCTAAAAATCAACTAAAAAAAGAAACTCTGAATTCTACAACAGTATTGTCCTTAAAAAGTACAAGATTTAATCAGAAACAAAACTAATACTTTTTTTATATCAGTAGCTTGATGGCAGGAAAATTATTGGTTCCAATGTGTGTGTTTTCTGTTCTGATTCAGAGACAGATGAAAGCATTGGGACCATCAGAGAAAGGCTGCCAAGAACAATGCATATTTCGAGTGGAAGCAATGACTTAATTTGTTTTTTTCAAGGAGCCAAAAAACGCTGCCATTGGGAAGTACCTGGCAAGACTGTGCCCCAGTAGCAGTATTATCTGTGCTGTTTTACGATGCTGTTCTTTACGCTACGCGGTACCTTCTAGTCTGGCAGATGTCAAAGAGCCTTGATGCTGTTTACTGAGATTCAAACTGGAAATAATGGGAATAGTTTTATGGGAAAAACTGCTGTGAAAATCTGAACTTTAAATGTCATGTAGAGAGGCTCTGAGAGGAAGGTTTGCCTCTAAGGAGTGATTAAGGTAAATGCTTCATGGGGACAAGAGGAAAGGGAGAGGAATCTATGTAACAAGGCAGAGAAGGGAAATCCATGTCCAATCAGGACAAAAGGTAAAAAAGCATCAATAAATTGAAGGGGGGGCAGTGAGGAGACTCAAGGGGGACAAGATGTGACAGGGGAAGGAAAGTCAATACTGGGCAGAAGATGTGCCTCCAGTGTCTTATACTGAATTAAGCAGTACAAGGAAACAAAGCATATTTTTATGAATGTGTTTCTTAAATATCTGCAGTGAAAATCAAAGGATAGACATTAAACACGGAACTAGAATTGGAAGGAAAAAAATCAAAAATTAAATTGTGTATGTCTGAAAAGGGTCAAAAAGAGAAAAAAAACATAATATACTTTATTTTGTGAGAAAGTACTCACTCTGATTCTTTACTACACCTACCGTGCACATAGGCATCGACTCAGCCCTGACACCTGGGTGGGATATTGGAGGACTGAGCATTAAAACAGGACAGACACTTAGCAAGTTTGGGCACAGAGACCCCAACAAGGCCAAACTGCAGAAAGAACCGTGCAGAGCATGGCCGGCGGTCACCCAATACCTCTCCCTCTTCACACCCTCCCTCCAGGGCCACTGTTGGGTGAGTGAACGTCCGGTTAGCTCATCATGGGCTTTTTCCCGGCTCGACCAAGAGCCAGGAAAAGAAATGACCTGACCCCTTTTCTTCTACAGTAGGAGGCAGCAATGGGAAGAGAGAAGCGGGGAAAGACTAAATCGAAGAAGGAAACTAACAGTGTTGAGAGCCTCAGGATCTTTGCTAGGTTCTTTCACATAATTTACCACATTTTATCTTCTTTGTCCATGACCTGTTTTCTTATCTATTATCTTGAGAAATGTGGACCCTTTGCCTGTGTACAAGGGACCCTGAGGGGCTCATGTGGCCCAACAATGGGTCTAGAAATGCTGAGGGCCAGCAAAGCTTTCTCTCGGTGTCAGTGAGCAAGACCATGACCATGCACTTCAGCACTGAGTGCCAGCCAGCCGCCTGCCAAAACAATCCATATGGAACCAGTTATGTTTCGGTGCTCAGCAGTCTGGCAGCATCCCCACAAGCCACTCCTTAGATGAGGGCAATGAAGAAACAGAGCCAGCTTTGTCTGACTGCCACCTGCCCAGCCCTCTTCCCTCGAGGACTATGTTATCTAAAGAGACAGGTTGAATGATTGGATCGGTTTGAGATTTCCAAGTTGGACTAAATATCTTTTTCTTTTCTTTTTTTAAAATTTCTGAATCCAAGTAGGTTTGGGCTTGTCAGAAACCAGTATAGTTAAAGAGAATTAAATCACATTTTCTTTGCAAAATGGAATATAGTGTTAATAAATTTTGACCCCTGTCTCGAAGGAAATTTGAAAAGAAGGAAGGATGCCAGGAAGCAGGGAGAGAGAGACAGAGAGATTGAAACTAATACAGTTGGTTTCATTCTTTGCTGATGCTGTTTTGAAATTCTTAATAACTTTGAACTCCATCTCGATTCGGATTTAGGTGAATGTGCGGGAGTGGGGGCCAAATTCCCAGACATCTGACCTCCTCGCCCTTCCGACATTTCCCTTCTCTCTGTCATCCCTAACCTCTACCTACGAGGCACCCACTTTCCCAGTGCCATAGCCTCCCTCTCACGCCTCTGCACACATTTAAAACTCTGAAGTCTAGTCTGCTAGATCTGCCTCCTGGTTGATAAAGAAGATAAAGGGATTTAAGAAGTTATTTTCTCTTCTAATAACATTTTGACTTTCAAGTTCTATTGTCTTGCTGTGAATATAAAAAAAAAAAAAAAAAACCCCGAAATTCTATTTTGGAAAACAGAGGCTAAGATTACCTTCTTTGCTTTCACCTTCCCGCTGTGATGATCCTATGTATTCCCAAGCATTGGTCTTTCACCGTTCCCTGCCCCAGCAAGACGGATGGCTTGGGCTCATTAAGGAAAAAGTCATGTTCTTAGACATATAGAATGGAATGGTTAACTGTTTATACTCTGCCCACTCCTTCAAATGTTCAAGAGCATTCTCAGTGACTAGGACCAGCTTCACAGGTACATGGCCTTTCACACAAGACCCCAAGCTCAGGAGGACCTCATACTTGGTATAAAGTGCTGCTATCACTGTCTTGAAATTCCTAAAATTTTTGAACAAGGAGTGTCTGCAGACCATGCAGCTGATCTTGCCTGTGACTCTGGGCCTTCAGAAAGAGCATCCCATCACTAACAACCCAAAGGTGTCGAATCTACGAGCATTGCTAAATGTGCCGTGAGTCTACTTTGCCATATTAACCGAGGGGGTTTTTGTGTCTCTATTTGTACTTCTTACTATCCCATTTGCTTCTTTTTAGGCAGAGGTAAAAGCTTCTGTGTGGGTGTAATATTTCTTAACATGAAAATAAATCTCAAGTTTAGGACAAAAAACGGATGGGATCAGTCCCTCAGCAGCAGGAAATGCCAGGAGAGAAGGAGCGGGCCATGAGCAAGTACCTCTGCCTACTCATGACCCCAAGAGCCCATCACGGGGAAAGGGGGAGGGAGGGAGCCTTGTGCACCCACCTGCCTGCACAGCCCGCCGGCCTGAGGGAGACAGCGCGGGGCTGCCCCTGCCTGGCCCGGGGGCACCAGTTTAAAAAGCAGAGGGAACCAGTTACACAGGAGAAACAACTGTGTTGCTTATTAATCCCAAATTACATACACAGGACATTTCCCCCTAGTAGCTACCTGACTGATATCCTGCATAAACCGCATTATTTTGTATTGGCCTAGGTATCAGCCTCTAAGGCAAATATGTTTCAATATTAAGGACAGATGAATTTTAATGCACATGAACATGAACTTACCATCCAGTAAAGTTTCACAACATACTTTCCATAGCTATTGAACAAAGGAATGTGGCCCTTCACAGCTTTGCAGAGAGAGTATATGTGTTCCCAGGGCTTCCAGATGAGAAGAGGAGATTCCCCTGTAGTCCCTTTAAAATTATCGTTGAATATCTTCCACACTGCATAGATTTCGCTGATGATCCATCTCATCAGCTAGAGACAAAAACCACCAGTGTTAATTAGTTATTTTTTAGCTGTTGGCACTGTAATTTAAGGGGGAAATCAGTTGAAAATCTACCTATTAAATTCTATAGGTAATGTGTTCACATTTTGATTTCTGACCTGCAGAATAAAGTCATAGATCTTGCCTATGTTTTCAGGAAATAATGTCATATTACAGGCTAAAACGTGTAATATTAAACACACTCTTAGCTATAAGCTGTCTTCCAGAGTAAACAGCCAATGACCTCCATTTGACATAGACCTTCATTTGAATTCTGTGAGGGGTGGGGAGGGGGGAACTGAATGCTTCTAAAAACAATGATTTACTTCGGAGTTAACTTTTTATAAATGAGGGAGCTACTCTTCTGTAAATTTTGAGAAGTTTGATGAAAAAAATGATTTTTTTTTTGGTCAATAGAACCAATTAGACAAGGAATAAGACGTGAAAATTTTAAAGATTGCACACACACTTAAATATGCTCTAAATTCATATTTTATGTGTTGATCTATAGGTGCAGAAATGCTCCAAGTAAAACTTCCACTTGCATTGCTAAAACTTGCAGGAAAGCACTGTGGGGACCTGAGCTTTAGAGTAGAAAGACAGACCCCTCTGTTCCCGGGCAAGTCACTTCAGCCTCTCTAAATTTCAGCTTTTCATCTTTTAAATGTACGTTAAGCTATCTATTTCTCAGTATTCTTTGTGAGTAATAGAAACAATGCGTAGGAAATCTCTAGGTCACAGTGGGTGTTAAGTAAAGCCATTATTACCCCCATGAGTACTGGCTTTTCTGAAATATTCATCTTGTGTTTTACTACCTGGAGTGTGCAGAGATTAAATACTTAAGACTGACCTCATAGGATTTATATTTTTCTTAATTTGCTTTATCTAGGAGCTTTTTAAAATTTTGGCTAAGTTGAAAAAAGGCCAATTAAATATCCTCTTGTGTATCTGAAAATACTATCTATTATTTTATACTTTTCTTCCCTTGAAAAATAAAAAGTCTAAAGTCTATCTGTGTTTAGGATCCATAAATCTGCAGATCATGTTGTGCTGATGTTGGTGAAGATATTAAACATAAGAAAGACAAAGGGTTCAAATCAGTAATGACTATGTTCCACTCCTCTAACTGTTCTTAAAAGGAAAGAAGCAAAAATCCCCCATGTTTGAAATAACTACTTTGGGGAAGTGGAACGAGTCTGCTTCTGATGGATAACAGCCAGGGTGGGGCATGGGGAAGTGCATGCCCACACGAAGTAGGACGCTGTGCTGAATATCTGGCTTGTTCAGAGGCGGTGTTGCAAGCAAGCTGCACCCTATCATTTCCCCTACATCAGCAAGTCAAATAATATAACACCCAACTCTTGGAGAGCAACTTTAAGTCATTTGCTAGGCACTTGGATCTGGAGGAGAAACGCCTAGACTGTGAGAAGCTGGTCCCCTGGGCAGAAGAGGGGAACAAGCAATACTGATACTAACATTCTCCCACAATTAGTATGCTAAACTCAAAGGACCTTCTCTTTCCCTCTGAATGTCCTGTGTATTAAATGCTCAGTTATACCAAAACTTAAAGGTGAGCAAGGGAGAAGTGAGACTGGGAGTTGTTGGAGCAGGTCCGGAAGGCATTTTGCATCGAGGCTTTAGTTCACGCTTCCTACATACCTCACTGCAGAGTAAGTGTTCATTTACTGAAAACAAGTCAAACTGGGTTTCATCCTTCACAACTACTGGAACCTGAAATAAAAAATTGTAAAGAAGCTATTATTCCTTAGGATAATAAAGGAAATGTAGCTCATCTGATTTCATTTCTCACAACCAGAGACATCAGAAGTAAAAAGTAAGCACATTATTCCTGTTACAGGTGTAGGTGACATTAATTTAATAATATAATGCCTATAAAAATACAATATTTTAACATACAAATACAATGTTATACGATATGATGCATGCAGATAAACTCAACATGCATAAACTGAGAGTTTAAAATTGTGATCTGAAATTTAAATTAACCACTCAAGTTAAAACTGATGCTCAGTTAATATCTGGTAGCTAAAAAAATATCTTCATCCTGGATAAAAAAAATATCAACTGTGACAGCTTTCTAAATTCCTGCCCCACTTTAAAATGTATTAACTAAATGTTAATTATAATTGATTATAATTAATCCATTCATTCATTAGAGATTAAAAAAGTATTGGATACCTCAAATTTGAAGGGTTGACTTAATAGACATATGCTGACAAATGAAAAGGAGGAACTAACCATTTGTAAAAGACACAAACACTAAGGCGATGATGTTTCAGCATCTCCATCCCCTGTGCCTGTACCTGGGCAAGATAAACCTTCAGACACCTTACAGCTGTTTAGTATAATCAATAGTTAAGGGCCTTGGCCACCAATATCTGGTTCTTAGAAATAAACAGATCCGCTCCCCCACTCTGTGATCAGGGCTCGCTAACCTTCCTGGTGAAGAATGGCCCGTGTGGACTCTGATATCTCAAATCGGGGCCTTTACGTTGTTGAATAACTTAGCTTCTCTCTGACTTAAATCATGTCCTCTGACTCCACCTTTTGCTTAGAGTGTCCTGGGGTATGTTTCTAGGCTGTACTGTGCTTTTTAAATCGCGGATTGCAATTATTTACTGATTTATGAAATCAGTTTAATGAGTCAGCTGTGTGTGTGTGTGATCTATCATCTATCTATCATCTATCTATCTATCTATCAATCTATCTATCTATCTATCTATCTATCTATCTATCTATCTATCTATCTATCATCTATCATCTATCTATCATCTATTGGGACAAACTAGAACAGAGTAAATCTTACATAGAAAGGCCTTTACTATTTTGCGGAATTTTTGTCTAAACTTTATATATGTCTATATTTAATGAGTCTCAGTGTAAGATGTATTTATCACTGTGTACCTAGACATGAAAACTTGAAAACACTATCCTAAGGCTTTCCTAGCCAGCTGCACTTCCAGTTCTGGCTGTTCCTATTCATACACCAACACGATGGAGCCAGAGGAGGAGGCAGTGAGCAGTGAGAGTAGAGGTAGATGGATGGCAATATTATGATAAATGTTAGTGGAAATATCCTCAACAATGACGAGTAAACTTATTTTTAGCATAAGTGTGTCTCTGAGAATTAAGCTACGCTAAAAAGAAAAAACATGGTTCATAAACCTTTTCTACTTATTCGAATTTATGACACTCCCATTTCCTGGAATTCATATCCCTTATCTGCATGGAACGCACACTCTGCACCTAAACTGAACAGAGCTTGAATATTATTAACAATACATTGATATTAAGTGCATTATATTAACACCATAAATTGGTATTCTTTATGTCATCGATACCTAACATTGTAAGTAATTTAAAGGCATGCTTCACGTGTATTTGATTTCTCGTATTTAAATTGTCTTACAAGCAGACTTGCCATAAATATTCTGATGAAGAGAGATGTGTCTATTTTTCATTTTAGTGTTTTTAAATTTAGGATTATCTGACTTTCTCAACTAGTAACAGTAATTGAAGAATACGGTGGATAAACTGTATTTTCTTGCATTCGTAGCAGTGCTTACAAAGGATAAAACTTTCAGGGATGAAATCACTTTGTGTAGAAACAGAGATTCAGTGGATTCCATGATATATGGGAGAATCAGCTCCATTATAACCATTTGACTAGCTAACTAGGAACCAATTAAGCCTAGTGATTTTCTATGCATTAATTGAACATAATAAAAGATCCAAGAAGGGGAAAAGGCATTAATGATAATTAAGCCCTTGGAAACACCAAATATATTTAAATGAACATAGCTATTAGGAAGATAGACCAGTGGGTCTAAAGTTTAATGTACATAAGAGCTATTTAAAACAAAGTTTTCTCAGGTGATGTCCCAGTTGGTATGACTCAGGTGGCTGGGCACAGGGTCCAGGAGTGGAGGTGGCCCTTGGAAAATGCTTAACAATCCCCATAATTTGACCCCATGGAGAGAAGGAAAAGAAAGCCAGGCTCTAAACAAAATTTCAATATTCAACTGTACTGATAAACATTTAATTATCATTTAAATACCAAAATGTAATTACTTATTACTGTATACCACAGGAAAAAATACATTAAATTGTTTAAAAAAATGCAGATTTTCATAATTAGCATTTTATATCCCATCATTAATATGTATTTTGCCTAATAATAAAAATACTTCTTACCTTATTAATTAAAAAATCCTGTGGACGTTTCCAGGAATAAACTTTCAGTGATGGTGGTAATTCAATCTTGCCTTCAGGGTCTTCAAAAAAATGCTACGTAAAGATATATTGAGATTAGTCAAAGAACTTATATGCTTATCTGCACAACCTATGGACACAGACATTGGTATGGGGAAGGTTTGGAGGTGGGTGGATGCCGGGTGGAGGGGATCAATGGGGGAAAAAAGGAGGCATCTGTAATACTTTCAACAATGAAGATAAATTTAAAAAAAAGATATACTGAGTTTTATCTCCATATGGTTTTATTAAAATAAAAACAACTCGATCTTAATAAAAATTAATAAATGCATAGATCAGTAAATAGGCATTTATAGAGCACTGGGTATGTTTGTTCTCAGAGCTAGTTCTAAGATGAAGTATTTGGAAAATGCTGAAGTTAATGACATTGTATTTAATTAATGAAACCTTGATTGATGGTTGAGTAGCATTTTGATTGGAGAAGAAAAAGTACAAGCAAGCATGTGCTGTTTGGGAACGTGAACTAGATATGGAGGGAAAACAATTTTGTTTGTTTTTGTGTGTGTGTTTTTTTTAATTTTATTTTTGTTTAAAATATTACAGATGTCCCTTTTAGGAAAACAATTTTGGATTGTCCAGATATGGACTTATTTCCACTGAAAATACTGTTTCTTTTACCTAAATGGGGGAGATTGAACAAATTTACTTGTCAACTGTTAGAACCCATAAACAAGTTAATATGTAAATGAAATTTGTATCTTTGGTTAGACTTTCATTTATTGTTTTAATTAAATTTGTTATTTTGAGATTATACATTCACAGCCCATTGTATAAAATAATACAAAGAGAGTTCCTGCTTTCTCTTTTCCCAAAGGTTAACATCTTGCCAGACTATACTACAGGGTCACAACCAAGATACAGACATTGACACAGTCAACATACGGAGCAGTTTCATCAACACAAGGACGCTTCCTGTGCCTTTTACAGCCATACCTACCCTAAACTCCCGGCTCTGTGCTTAAGCCCTGCCACCTGGCAGGCACTCCCCTGGGCCCTGTATCTATAGTTTTGCCATTTCAATAACGCTACATGAATGAAATCATATAGTATGTAGCCTTTTGGATTGGTTTTGATCCCCTCTCAGCCTAATTCCCTGGAGGTTCATTTCATCCAAGCTGTTGTATGTATCGGTAGTTTGTTTTGCTTATAGTTCACGGTATGGGTATTTGTTTGCTTACCACCCTTCCACTGAAGAACCTCTGGCCTGTTCCCAGGACGCAGGCCTGGGAAGACAGCCGGGGGAGACGGGCTCCCTGCGGGGAAGGCGAGCGCCCGGTTCCCACCCCTGGTTCCGCGGCAGGTTCAACGGAGGCCCAGGCGGGCGCCGCCCGGTTCACTTACAAATACGGGGCTCTTGGCCGTCTTGTCCTTCTCTTTTCCAGTCTTGCCCGCGTCCCACTTCTCTGCGTTTATGTCGACTTCGCTCCACTCCGGCCAGATGGGGAACCTGCCCTTCCTCTGCTCGGCCGAGGCCTGCGCGTTGCTGCCCAGGAGGTACTGGCTGCGGACAGAGGGCGGGACGTCAGCGGGATGCACGCCTCCGGGCGAAATGCTACACCCATCGCCCCGCAGTGTAATAAGTTTAATTCTCCTGTCAGCAGTCGTGTCGGATACATGTTGCAGTGCGGTGAAACCTGGAAGGGCAAGGTAGCTCCCACATGCCCGGGTTCTAAAGGCTGAAATATCCCAGACAGACCATTTCATAAATAAGCTCCGTGCGTCAGTCCCTACTTAGGAAGGCAGGACATTCATCGTAAACATATAAGATGCTAGGTAGGGGAACATTTATATATGATTCCCACTTAAAGAAAATCCTTTACCTGTATAATACTAATAGCTTTTTGAAGATCAGTCCAAATGTAATTTCGATTTTTCCCAGTTTTAAAGTGTTATGTGATCGTTGTTTTAAAAGAAAATTTTAAATACAAATCAGACAAATAAGAAGGCATCTCTAATCCATTCTAGAAACCACGATAACAACTGTCTATTTTCTCAGGTTAGTATGCAAGCATATACCTCTCTTCTTCAAAGATGACATCAGTCAGCACACTTTTTTTTTTCCTAAGGGAAAGCAAAAGTTTATTGAAGGAAGGGAGAGACAAAAGCTCCTGCCACAGGGAGCAGGGTCCTGAACAGGTAGCCAAGCATATTCTTTATCCACTGCTTTTATCCACTTACCAGTATATTGTTAATAGTTCCTATGTCAGTATTTATCTAAATATGAACTTAATGATGGCATAATATACTGCCTTCCATTTAACTAAGCTTCTATTTTGGAAATTTGAGGGTTTTGATTTAATTTTTTTTTCACTATTAAAAACAAGACTGCCATGGCTATTTTGTTGCTAAATATTGGCATGCATTATTCACAGTTTCCTTAGGATGGCTTTTAATAAAGACACTCTACCCAAATATATGCATATTTAAAGCTTGTGATATATTTTGATCACTTTTCTACAGAAAAGTTGAACTCATTTTATACTCTCATTGTTAGTATATAAGTTTCATATCTCTAAACCTTGACTTCCTATTTTTATGAATTCTAAAGTCTAAACTAGGCATCTTGTTTAATCTTTCAAGTTTTAACTACACATGAGGTTAGAACCCTGCTCTAGACCCTGGGATAAGCAATAAACAAACCAGACTAAAATCATCTACCCTTATGCAGATCATATCCTAGTGGGTGGAGACACAAAATAAACAGCATAAATTAAGTAAAATATATAGTATATTAGAAAGTAGAAAATGTTAAGGGAAACTACAAAACAGGATGAGGGAATTGAAGAGTTAAGGTTCACACGTTTTATTACAGTGGTCAAGGAAAGTGCTCTATAACAAGATAGTATTTACATAAATAGTGAGAGGAAACAAAGGATCAAGCCATGTGGGTATCTGTGGATGGAATGTTCTGGACACAAGGAGCAGCAAGTACAAATAGCAAGGAAGAGTATTCCAGATACAGAGAGCATCCTGGCTTATTCGAAGAAGAGTAAGGAGGTCAGTGTGGCTGAAGGGAAGGTAGGGGGAGATAATTTCAGAGAGGTAACAGAAGATGCAAAGATTATAAAGGTGATCTAAGCCAAAGGAAGGGCATTAGTTTTCAGTCTGAGCAAGCTGGGAAGCCAAAGGAGGGTTTTGAGCAGAAGTATAACATGGCATGACTAACATTTTATAATCACTTTTGATGCTATGTTGAGAGAGGTCTAAAGAACACTAGAAAGACAATGTAGAAGGCTTTGTAATGACAGATGAGAGCTAGTAGTGGTTTAGATCAGTCGGTAACAGTAGAGGAGGCAGGAAATACTCCCCAGTATATATTTTAAAGGTAGAGCAAGTAGATTGAGTTGATATTTCCAGATAAGAGTGTGGGATGAGGCAAAATGGAAATAGGAAATAAAGTAGCATTTCACTTTTGAATGAGTTGTGGTTTAGATGTTTGTCACACATCCATGGAGATGTTGAATAGGTAATTATAGACTTCTGATGTTTGAGAGAAAAAAATTAAACTAAAAGTGCAAATTTGACAGTCATCAGCATCTGGGTGATATTTGAAGTCTTAAAACTGAATGAAATCGCAAAAAAAAAAATAATTACACATGAGGAAGAGGCACTTTCACAGACACTGTTCAAAATACAGAACAACTGGTATGGAATGAGCATTGACCAATCTAAATGGACCCTGGTCACAATGCTGGGTCATGTCCTCAAAGCTACCAGCTAGGCCAGACATTTATTCTTTACTTTAAGTGGTGGGTGAGGTACGTAAGATCTTCAGGGTAGGTCAGGACCCAGGGCAGGAGGCAGAAATGTCTGGGGCTCAGGGCTATTGGTAAGGTTGTTGTTAAGCTACTCACCAACTACTATAAAAATATTTTCATATTAGACCTATGAATACAGCTGTATATCTGCCCTGGTATTCCATGTTGAAAGTCAGAGAGAGTACGAAGAAAACTGAGAAAAGCAGTCAGTGTGGTAGACAAAATAATGCCCCCCCCCCCAAAAAAAAAAATCCACATCCTAATCCCTAGAACCAGATCCAATACATGGATCTCTTTTTCCACCACAGAAGAGACTTTGTAGATATCCTGAAATGGAGTGATTATCCTTGGATTATCTGGTGGACCCAATGTAATCCCGAGTCCTCAAAAGTAGATGGAGACAGTAGTCGGGAGATGAATTCATGAAGAATGCACAGACCAATGCAAAATTGTGGGTTTTGTAGATAGAGGAAAGAGGCCACACCAAAGGAAGGGAAAGGAAACTGGAAAAGCTCTTTCCTTGAGCCCCCAGAAAGGACTACAGCCTTGTTGACACCCTGATGTTAGCTCAGTGAGCTGATTTTGCACTTCTGAGCTCTACAATTGCGAAATAACAAATTCAATTTGTTTTAAGTCATGAAGTTTGTGGTATTATGTTACAGTGGCGATAAGAAATGGTGAGGTAGAAAAACATAATAGAGGGTGATGCCTGGAAGTCAAGAAAAGCAATGTTCTCAAAAATGAGCCACAGGTCTAAATGGTGTTATTAGATCAAACAAGATGAAGTATAAACAAATAAATGTTGTACTTATCAACAAGAAGGTTAAGGTCTCTCTCAAATGTCACCTTCTGGGATTAGGGATGGGAGGAACTTTCTTGAACACCCTATCTTATATAGTAACTCTCACCTCTCTGCATGCTTTTATATTGTTTCATTTCTACAGCACTTGACAATTCTCTCACTAATCCTTATTTATGTGCTTGTGTGTTTCCACAGGTAGGGTTTGTATTGTCTACACTGACAGGAACATTGGGTTTTTTGTTCACTTCCTTCATCGCCAACAATGGGAAGAGTGTCTGAACAACATAGGCAATCTATGTGTCTTTCTGTCACCTATTTACGTAAAATAAAAGAATGAATGCTGTTATATTTCTATCATTTCTAATTAATACTGTTTCAAATTTTTACATATAGGTAGGGATTGACCAGATGCTCACCAATTCTGCTTTCCATTTCCTACATTTCCCATACTCCTTTGCAGCTTGGTACCTTGTGGTGGTGTTTTAGAGAATAGCATGTGGGGACGTGTGTTGGATCCCACCTTAGGCTCATAACACATTCTATGAGATGCTTCCTCACTATGTTCCTGCTTGATGCATGGCTCAGTCCTTATGAGAAGACCTCAGAAAATGGTAATACCACAAGATGGGACAAGCCAAGAATCCTTATTTGTCGCATTCAAATGTACCAATAAACTCCTAATCACAGGCTGGTATAAATAATCAGTCTTCCCTAGAGAAGCAGCAGCCTCAACTCAGAGCAATGACATTCTGACCTTCATTTACTTCCTCATTTCTAAATTCTGGAGAATTTTTTTCTTTACGTAGGCATTTCTAGATATTGTTACTTTTAAAAAGATCTTAATCCACCATCTTGGGGAGAAGAAAGCCTGAGAACATATATATTGTAAAGGACTGTTCTGAGTAACATGTAGGAAAATATGAGAAAATGATGACTAGGATAGTTTTTAGGAAAAAGGGGAAATTTTTCATGATATTAATAGAAAAATCATGTGTTGGTACAACAGATAAAAAGAAATTGATGATTTTGTATCTATCTAAAAGCATGATAAAATTACCTCATTCAGGAAGCTCAAATTAAAGCTATTTTTAAAAAAGGAAGATCTAATTTCTTAAAAAATAAGGACCCTGCTAAGGTCATGTTTTGCTTTCCTCTTCATTCTGTCAAGTGTAAGGAAATGTTCTGGCTCCCTCCCTTAAGCTGTTAATATTTATCACTAATTGGCCTACTTTCCTTGTAACATGTCAAATTTGTTTCCATCTATATTGAAGATCACTTAAAAAGACTCTTATTATGAGGCAGGCTAGTAAGAAGCCAGGAAAATTCCTTGGCAAATGGAATGGGGAAACTGAGACAGACGGCTGATCCAGCACCCTGACTCACCTGCCCCCTTCTTCTGTGCATGACCACTCCCTTAAGCATTAAGCCCTCAGGTCAATGAGGTTCTGATCAGCATCAAATAATGTTAGGAACAAAGCCTCGGGTCTGTTGACCACAGAGACAGAGTTTTGGTCAAACTAGAGATAACATCCTGGCTTCAGTTGTGTTTCAGCTCCAGAAAAGCAGCAAAACTGGATGAAGTTACACCATGGCTGACATCAGGACCAGCAGCATTGAGTGATGACCCCCTACCCTAGCACCAGCCAATCAGTAGAGACCATGACCCTGACCCTATATGCTTATTTTGATGAATCAACATATGAAAGGACAAACTTGGATAGCTGATGAATATTCTATTGAGGTCCTCCCCTGAGATCTCCCCTAAAACTTCTGCCTTTAGAAAACAAATAAAAACCCTTAAGACAAAGGACTCAGTACACGTGCTCTCTCTAGAGCATGCCTATGCCATCTTTCTTCAGGCATACATCTTTGCATTCTGTCTCCTAAGCTCTAAGGGTCCCTAGGAGACTTGCAACCAGGGAAGCAGACGGCAATGGCAGTTCATCCTGGGCTACACCCCTGAGCCTCTCTCCAAGGTCCTTCCTTTTGCCTCTATAACTTATTTCCTGAGTCCACACAGCCCAGCTGGCTCACTTCTGCCTCTGTGACTTTCTTCTAAAAGGCCAAGGCAGCTCTCTGAGCAGTCCGCCCAAATCTTCTCTTCAAGTGCACTTTTGCTCGGCATGCTAAATAAACTCCCTCTT